AGAAGCACGTTCAACGGAAGAGATGGGAGAACAGAGCGGAAGAATACGAAGATCAGATCCGGGAGCTCCAGGGCGACATCTCCCGGATGGAGGCGGAACTCCGGTCGACTCGGGACGCCTTGAGGGAGACGGAGAGGGAGAAATCCAGCGTCATCCTCCAGTTGCGGGAACAGAACGACCGACTCGCTTCGCACATGCAAGAGGTCTCTGTCTCTGCCTTGCTTCTCTCTCGGCTACTCGACCGTTAGGATTTTTTCGCTTCGCATCTTCTCTCGAGGTGAGGCCGTGCTTGCTGCAGCAGCACGAGAGACGTCGAGGAAACGTCGTTTAAACTAATTCTTAAAAATGCGTCACGACGACGAATTCGGACGAACCGGTGTTCGATATCGCCTCTAACCGAAATCGTCGTCCGAGAAGATGCGCAAATGTAATTATGCGAAAGTCGAATCGACTTCGTATCGTTGGGAAATGCAACGTTGGCTGCAGCGTAGACACATGCCACTCGCACTTCGTGGAGCGCCAGAATTCGTCAGAATTTGATCGCTACGGGAAACCGAATTTTCACTTACTTTTAGGATTCCATGGCAAAAGTCTCCACGGTCTCTAACGTTGCCACTTTTTACGACAGGCAATATAAAAAAGACATCGATCGTGATCGATGAAATCATCCTAATCCCGTCGTGCGATGCAGCATCCTAGAAGGCGACAGTATCCATATTAATGGGATGCAAAGTCGATGAGATCGACGACAAGTTGTCGTCGATCTCATCGAGGATGCATCCAAGATGAGGTTCGCCGTTCACCGATCGGTCGTTTCTCGTGCGTGCAGGCGAGTCGACACGGGGAGAATCTGAGCCGGGAGCTGCAAAGCCTCCGGGATCGAGTCTCTCTTCGCCGATCTTCCTCCGACGATCATCTTGCTCAAGTCGACCTCCTCCGATCCCAGGTCCGAGGCCTCCACTCGCTCGCCGTTCGATTTATCGGGGACGCGTCCCAAAGATGCACCGCCGTTCGAGATCGGAATCGGTTATGTGGAACGAGAAACGAGTTGCCTGTGGTTCGCATTTATACGATTTAGTGAAGTTTTATATATTTACGCTCGATAAAAAAAAATTCCGAGAATCGAATACGACTCGTTCGGTTAGCATCGAGGAACTCACCGAACGATCGCGAAGTCGGCTATCTGCCGACGGCATGTTTTCACCGGTTTCGTGTACGTGCGCTCACTAGGCGGACGAAATGGGACGGAGAAGACGGGAAATCGAGGAGGAACTGGAGCGAGTGATGGCAGAGAGAGAGAGCCTCCGGATGACCTTGGAAGACACTCGGCACCAGGTCCG